ATATATATATATATATATATATATATATATATATATATATATATATATATATATATATATATTGTTAGGATCCTTTATCCTTAGCAAATTATGTGTCACTGGGTAAAAAAATTCTTAAAATTTGAAGAAAAACACAGAAGAGCTAAAATCTTATGGTGTATGTTATTAATATGAAATAATATGCACCATATAATAACGTAAATTTCATTGTAAAGATAATTTAGTCAATTAATATGAAATTAAATAAGAAAATTTATGGATTTTTAGGGTAATTAATACTCATACTTTTAAATTTTTAAGAAATTCGAATTATTATTGTAACTTTTAGTTTATTTACGATAAAGCAAATTTCATTATGTAAAAGAATATTTGGTACGTTTGCATTCTTGATAGAATGTCATTATTTACGTAATATGTTTTCATCTTGATAGAATATGTTTTCATTCTAGATAAAATACGTTTTCATTCTGAAAAATGTAATTTTTTTGATCTAAGAATTATGTTTTCTGATTTAAAGATTTTAATTTTCAACATTAAACATTGAATTAAATTAAAATCCGAACAATTAAGACTTAAGTATCTACAGTCAAAAATAAATATGAAAACGTTAGAATCAAGAATCGTAAAATTCTAAAACTATTTTGTGAAAATGACAAAGAAACCAAAACTATCGAATAATAAGATATTTTTGAAAAATGATAACTACAATAAGAATACAAATAAAAAGAATGAAGGTTGTCATTTTTGAAAGAATACAATGACCATTTTTGAAAGAAAATACTAACACAACATATACTTTTTTAACAAAAAAAAATATGTTATATCAAAAAAAAAAAATTATGTTATATCAAATGCATTGTAATAAGAAAATCTGGCCCGCCCTATACGCTGTATATGTCCATCCCCTACTTGTAAGCCTTAAGCGTTTTCAGCTCTATGAAACTTTAAATTGATATATTCAGTAATGGAATTGGACACTAGTCATATTCAATTCTTATCCAACTATCGACACATACACATACATAATGTTAGTGTTTCATGACTAACTTCCCACGTTAGTCTTGGTAAGGATTGACGTGAGCCTTTCAGACTCTGTGGTTTACCATTTTTTTTTATTATCCAGTTCGTGGAATTTCAATTTTTTCTATACTTGTACTTGGGCTGATTGAAATATATTTCAGAAAATATTTAAACTTTAAAGTATATTTTTGAATCCATTGGGTTATTACTATAATTCACCCTTACTCTGCATTTTTATTCATTGTATTGAGATTTCAAAGATCCTCGAAATTCATCAAATTATGTTCTATCAGTATTTTATTTCAACAGCTCTTTAAAGGTACGGATAACTGCATATTTGATGTTCCATAACATAAGATTTTACATCAGAACACCAATTTATTTCAAGTTCACATAACGTAATTATGCACAAACTATATTATACTTCACTCCATTTTCTTATGAGATTCAAGGAAATTACAAGGGCTAGCATTAATGGAAGTAGACTCTCTATCCTCCGGTAAAGGTAAGGTTGTCAACATCTAACTTCCCATTATCCTATTTGTGTTATGGGTTTACTGTATTGTTGTTGTTGACACTAGGAATAGCATTGTCAAGTTCTCCACCTGCAAGAAAGAAGTGCAACATCGTGATCAATTCACAACTCCAAATTAATATAAGCCTAAAGAAGAAAATAAGCAGCCGTCATATGTGTTTCTGTGTATAGAATTATACCATCAGGATGAAGAAATGTGCCGGTATAGTAGGAAGAGTCCTTTGACGCGAGGAATACATATGATGGAGCAATCTCGACAGGTTGAGCTGCCCTATTCATGGGCACCTGTGACCCAAAGGTTGCTAAATCCTCATCATCGAGTGATGCAGCTTCAAGTGGGGTCCAGATAGGGCCAGGAGCCACACCATTCACACGAATCCCCTTGTCAACCAGGAATATTGCTAGACTCTTGGTGAAGTTCACAATGGCTCCCTTTGTTGACGCGTAATCAATGAGTTTTATGATGCTGAGAATCCTAACACTGAAGCGGTGTTTATGATGCTGCTTCCTGGTTTCATGTGCTTCACAGCATGCCTATACATCCACATCATCACAACCCATCAAAACTAGATGTGAAAAATAAGCGTCCTCAATGGAATATCACAATGCTTCGTAAATAATACTTTATTTAAGTACCACATATTCATTAAGCTTTTTTTGAAAACGACTCTTCTTTCATCTACATAGTGAAAATGACAGAAAACTAACATGACTTGTTGCTAAATTGTTTTAGTTTCTACAACTTCAGTGCAAAATAATCAAGTTATTTAACAAGCGTCGCATTTCACTAATTTTGTGTAAAGTTATTGGAAGTTTCATGTATATGAAATACCATAAAAGTGGTGGAAACAGAATATTAGATAACATGGAAGAACACTTTTCTTTCCTGGAAGTAAAAAGGTGTCAGATGCATGGGTGCTAGACACTCACCATTCCAAATACAATATGCTTAATTCAATTTCAAAAAGCTAGCTCTACAAAGTTCTCCCTTGATTTTTCTCTTATCATCTATATACGTGATAGAAGGTTTCCAACAAAACCTTTAAATTCTCTTTTAAAATGAAAGGATAATGTCATAAAACCCTTAAGTTTTTTAAGAATTTGCGGTTTTATCCTTTGATTCGTTTATGCCGCAAACTTGTAAAAAAAATATTCAGTTTTGCTCTTTTAACACAGTTCAAGCAAGTAACTTGTATAGATGGCAAGCCATGTGGACCATGAATGGGACGGACTCGATGATGTGGCTTACTATTGCGTTACTCCTTCATTATAAAACTTAAAAGGAAAATGGGGTAAGGGGTTTCGATCCCACCACCTCCAACTCATAAAGCAATGATCTTCCGAAGAAGCCCCATTGCTCTTGTGTGTTACTGAAATATTTTAAAAAACAATAATAATAATAATAATAATTACTACTATTATTATTATAATTATAATTATTTTTATTATTATTATTACTATCATTATTTTATTATTTTTCTATTAGTGTATATTATTTTTATTTACATTTTCAAAGGTGTAATTATATTTATAAAGATATAAAATACGTTTTTAAAGATTAGAAAAACATTTTTAAAGGTGTATATATTTTTGAAAGCATATCTAGACCTTTAAAAACATATTTTTATATCGAAATCGTATTTATAGACTTAAAAACGTACATTTTTTAAAGCGTATTCATATATTTCAATATATAAATATATGTTTATATATGTTTTATGATTTTGAAAGTATATAATATATAGGTACATATCTTTTAAACTTCCAAAAACATAAAAGATACATATTCGGTGTTAATGTGGATTTTTTTTTCTATTTTGAATATAAATAAATATTTTTTTGTATTATTAATACAAATACGTATTTTCTGTATTTTTAAAGAAGAAATACTATTTGACAGGTATATATATATATATATATATATATATATATATATATATTAAAAAAATTTCATTTTAAGTCTACAAATACGTATTTCATCATAAAACTACGTTTTTACTGGTGTACATTCGTTTTTAAGTGTATAAATACCTTTAAAAATATATTTTAACCTTTTAAAACACATTTTTATATTTATAACTATATTTATACCTTTAAAAACAAAATTTAAAATGTATATATACAATTATTTTTGGAAGTTTAAAAGATATGTATCTATATATTTTATACTTTTAAAATCGTAAAAGATACATTTATATATTTAAAAATACGTTTTTAATGTACAAATAAACCAAATACGCTTTAAAAAATATATATACCATTAAACATGTTTTTTAATCTTTAAAAACGTATTTTGTACCTTTATAAAGATATTTATACCTTTAAACTGTAATTAAAAATATGTGTATACACTTATAAAAAAAAGAAAATAATAATAATACTAATAATAATACTTAAAATTGTATATAAATTTTTTCATTAATATCATTATATATAATGTATTCAGGTTGAGATACATAAGAAGCTTTCCTGCTTGGTGGCATGCGCTTTGGTTTCTAATTTAGAGGTGGTGGCTTCGAATCTCCCCACCCTATTGTCATTAAAATCTTTCAATTTTTGTATTAAATGAATAAAGCAACGGTCAGCGCACATCTGGCTGACACGTCAGCAAGATCAGCCCATTCAGCGCACACATGGCTCGCCACCTATGCAGGCGACCGGCTGAACCTGTTAAAAGGGTAAAACCGAAAAAAAAATTGAAAGTTTGGAGTATAAACGAATCAAAATTCTGTCAAGGGTAAAACCGTAAATTCCTGAAAAATTTAAGGGTTTTTATGATATTATTTTTAAAATGAATCAAGATTCCACACTAATTAAATTAAAATTTACTATAATTTCCAACAATCACCTGTTGGGTTGGAATGTTTTGCTCATACTATATTACGACATTCCAAGATGCTATCATGAAGATTATAGCGATTATCATTTTTACCACACAAGGTTCAAATAACAGTTCCATGCAAGATAAAGCACAACTTTTTTTTGAGCACTTATAATAGTTCCAATAACACTGCAAAAAAGGTCTAACTTGTTTTAACTAGGGAGAGCTCCATGATCTTGTATGGGATTGATTTACCATGCATGGATACAATATGAGATGGCTTTTGATTATCTTCAACCTATGTGGGACAAAGTTTTGAACCAAACTTTATATATTATCATCAAACTGAAATGAGGTGCCACACAATATTGCAATTTATTTAAGCTTTAACAATTACCCAAATTTGAATACAAAGAAAATGCACATACCATGCTCATGTAGAGAGAAGAGACTCAACCATAAGTTAGTGAAGCCAATGACAACATGTACAAGTCTCGATTTCACTAAATGTCTTAACAAAGGATTACCGTGAACTAATCTTTGTGATAAAATAAGGCCATAAACACAAAACAGCACAATTGATTCGGAAAATATATACAGATAGGAAGAAACATAGCAAATGTTACTCTGTGAATTGCAATGTATTTCATATTAATTGTAAACAAAAATCCCATTTTAAGACTCTCGAAACTCTCCTTCTTGGGGCAAAGTGAAGTTCGCAAGAAAAAATATAACCGGTGAAAGTAAAATAATAATAACTTGAACATTAAGAGGCACACCTTGTCATGAAGAAATGGGAGAATATATTAGTTCTAAATATCCTTTCAAGCCTCTCTTCCGTGATATCATCTAATGTATATGTTTCATACTGCACAGCTGCGTTGTTCACCAGGACATCGATGCGTCCATATGTCCCAACCACCTTATCAACAACATCCTTACAATTCTTGTCATACCTCACATCCGTAGGTATTGCAATTGGAGAACCTGCATCACTCAAATTTTGAATCATTTATCAACTCTAAGGTATACTTTGCATCTATGTCTTCGACATCTTTCACATAAGTGAATGCTATAGTTGCACCCTCCTTAGCAAAAGAGTAGCAAACTGTTAGGATCGAGACACTTAACACACGACTCTAAACACACACACAGCTCACGAAAAACAAGAACACAAGGATGAACATGAGGGATTTAACGTGGTTCGGTCCTTCTCTGACCTACGTCCACCGGTAACTAGGAATTTATATTTCTTGGTGCTAATCTGCACTCTTTCTGTGTTACTCTAGATACAAGTTTTACATATACAGTTGAATCTCTTATATAGAGATGGAAATCAGAAGTAGTCAAAAAACACAACCGGGTCTTCAGCCAACCTTTGAAAAAACTTCACATTCAACAATTGTGGCTTCACATTCAACAATTGTGGCTTCACATTCAACAATCTCCCACTTGAAGCCACGGAACAATCTTCACCTGTTGAAGATCAACTGTGCATCTGTATTTTAAAAAATTTGATCTTAACTCCTTCCTAGTTACCCGGCTTTCTCTTCAATTTAC